ATAATTGTGTAAAGGCATACGGGCTTTGTGTTATACTTTAGTAAACTAAACCTTGAATTTTAGTCGATTTTTCATCCAATTCTTTATAGTTAATTTTGCCAGGAAAATACACGAGTTTTACACAAAATTTTTTCACATGAAAATGTATGTAATTTAATTATCTCATTTGTTCATTGCTTATAAGAATTGATTGTCTGGCTGATAAATCAAAACTTGAATGAAAGCTTCATCTTTTAATCTTGAATGAAAAACGTGCTCTTTTGTACTCAGTTGTGTGCCCAAAGTGATGAAAATCTCATTTAAGGGCTTCAAAATTTCAAAATTTTCTTGCGGGGCACGCCCCCAAGACCCCCTTACAATAGGCGACTAATTGCCCCTTGTTGGTGCAGTCAGCTACCATGTTTAAATCACCTGGCTACTTTAATTTTTCTTGAAAACCCTGGATAACTCAGCAATTTTTTCCTAAATATAACTATAACTTAAATTCCAGATAACTCAATTAGTCATTTATGATTTCCTTTAACTGTTTTTTCAAGTTACTGGGAGTCAGCACATACCATGCTTAGCTATGTGGTAGTTGATTGACCACACTTCACAAATCCTTTCAGTTAAAGGTATTTGGGAGCCAATGGAACGCTCCCAGGATATGAATATTGTCTGCCAGCCACTATAATGGATGATACAGTACAATAACTGCCAATTTGTAGAGATTATTCCATTTGGACTCGTTCCGGAATAAGTCAGTTACGCAGACCCTTAATCACAGTGCTTGAGGGTAAATTTTCATGAAAGATTTATAAGGACCACGCTGGATCTCTTAACTTTATAATTTGGAGGCCCGACCAGCAAAAAAGCTAAGAAAGCATCATAGAAACCGAAACTGAGGAAAACCGAAACTTCAGTTCAATAAATACACAAGCCACAGCAAACAACAAATGTTTGTTCAGAAATGGCCTTTCAAGGGCTGTGGTTCACAACAGCATGACAAAGGTTTTTGAACACTGATATACGGTTTCCTAAAACTGCTGGAAAATAACTAGACCTCAGCAACATCGCTTAAGCCTTCTAGACACGGGCACAATCAATTTACTGCATTCGAGTATACAAATACACAGAAAGAGAGTTGAAGATTCCTCCCATTAGGATCTTAGCACCAGAGCAATGCTCTGTATTATCTGAATAATGACTGCCAGCTAGCGTTGAAGATGGTACACTGCAATCAAAGTTGCTCCATCTACTTATATGGGGGAATATGGTCAGTTAAACAGGTCTTTAATCAGTACCCTTAACTGCAATACTCATGTTTACTAGGTTTGGCTGTCCTTTACGTTTGAAAGAATTTAATAAACCAAAGCTTAACATTTGTTGTATATAAAATTGTACTGCAGTTTGGTAATTAACTACAGTACAGTTCAGAGATAAGCGACCAACGCATACTCGAAACACATGTCTGTAAAATACAGACACAAAAAACAAACAGCCCCTAAACACAGAAAACTAAAAGGAGAGCAGAATGAAAGGAAAATTCTGATTCAAGCACTACAGAACCATACAAAATCTGATGCTCTAAACCAATATATTAAAACCCAAATAGAAATTCAGATGATAAAGAAAGTTGCTTGACTGAAGTTAAAGAACGACAAACAAACAATTTATAATATAAATAAACTTGCAGACATGAGTAATGGTATCTAAGATGGTTAAAGAATAAAGCACAAAATCTTATGCTTAGACAAGTTCTATTTTGAGATTAAAGCATGAACAATAATAAAGCCATGAACCTGCAGCTATCCTCAAAACAAAACAAATATTCCGGGGGTATGACCTTTTCGTCTAGTGGAAAATTGCACACGACTGACTCTTATAATGTAGAAAAAAGAAAACTAAATATTTATACTAATTCAAATGTCTGAAACACAGTTTTGTCAACCAAAAACAATACAGCATGTGTACTCAACCACTACAGGAAATTTTGTAAAAGTACTTGATCTCCAGAATGATCTGTTATATAACTCGATGCAAAGACAGCTTTCTCCATCCTCTTTACCAAACATTAAGTCATTCAAAAACTCGAAACCTGAAAATTCAACTAACTGTACAGTGGCTATATATAGATGCTTTAGCAAAGCTGAGAACAATAATGAAACACTTTAATTCTACCTCACTTACATAGAATTTATTTGTGCTCAAAATGCAGGGTATGTTCAAAACTAGTATTTCTGCTTTGGAAAGGGAACACAGTGACAACAAAAGAATAATGTTCCTAAACAAAAAGAACAAAACTTGATGATGATAAAAATTGTAACATGCAGATGGCAAGGAAAAAGCAAAACTTGAATATACATGTTGTTTTTATAAGCAAGTGAGTACTAGTAACTTTAGGCCCAGAGAAATTAGAGTCACATTTTTCTAATCGGCATCAAAAAAGACTGACCATCATACACTTTCAAACTCACAACATTCGAAACCACTAAAGCGTGCTCAAGTCTGTATGTTTGATCTAAAAATAGGCATCGATACGAAATAGACTCATACAAGGTACTGTTCATACATGTATATCGCCAAATAGGTCTCCTTCTTGATTAAAATTTTCAGACACTACTTTTAGAGATTGTTAGATAGTTTTTACGGTTCTAATATGTCAGCTTTACAATTATCGAGGACACAGCATGCAGAGATACGACGAAATTGCAAAATTTTTAACCCATTCATGAGATCAAATAGACAGAAAAATACTCAAATCGCATGCACAGCCGTCACACGACAGTATGGCCCTACTCTGCTACAAAAATTACTCCATGATCGGCTAGATTGTATGTTTTTTTCCTCAACAAGTCTTGGAACATTAAATAAGCAAGGCTAAGAGTTGCTATATCCTAGAGCTTTCGTAGCTTTTTGCATGGAAACCAGTTCAAAACAAAGCAGGCTGAGAAATGGTTCATAATTTTAAGGCATGATATTGTAATTCTTCGTGTGTCGTATGTTTCGCAAACAGGGTACGAGAAGATGCCAAAATAAAAATTTCTGTCGAGTGTAAGTAAAACTGGAAGCGCATGTATCATTTTGTCTTGATATCGTACAGAAAGCAGAATGGTCTTCGCGAGCTGAAGTGCATCCCATCAGAAATTTTCTTTCATTATCCTTCACTTCATCATTTGACAGTCTGACCACCAAAAATAGCTTCGAAAGCGCTTATCTACTGTTTTAATAGCATAAAAACCATTATGGATGAAAACTGTACAACAGAGAACCGTACCGGACATAAAACACAAGCTTAAGTAAGCCAGCAAACTTCGTTCGCATATGGCTTCATACTAACCAAGGTTCGCAACAGCGTGACAGAGGTTTTCGAACGTAAAATCACGATTTTATCGCTTCTAAAAAACCGCTAGAAAATAAATAAACCTTAGCGATGGTGCTTACATGAAATACAAGGTGAAAATCAATCGGTAGTTGAAACAAACTACAAAGAAGCGCCATGACCACGAATAATAATTCTTTTCCAGCCATTTTGTCGGGGTTGGCTAGTTTGTAAACATACTGCCATGTTTCAAAAAGCCATAGCTACCTCCGACCCTCGATTTAAGCTTTAAAATACCTCACCAAGCGTATTTTCGGCTGTATAAGACGGGAAAATACGCTTCTGAGGCGCATGCATCATCGAGACAACACAATAATAGAGTATTTCAACGTCTTGACCAAGTAAAAAAGACCCAAAGATGTTATAATAAATACACTTACTATTGCGCGCAGTCGATAAGTTGATACTCATTCGATCGTTCAAAGCATTCGAGAACTCCTGCATCCTGCCATAAGATTTTCGTATGTTCGTAGAACTCCTACGAAATAAAAACAGCGAAAAGTTACAAAAAAATCCGGGATATGAACGACCGTGCAAGACGAAAACACATTTTGTTTGTTCAAAGCATTCGCCTGCCCTCAACCCAAGCTTTCTAGTTTCCATAATTAGAAATGTGTACTAAATAAGAGCGAAACCGCTCGCCTGAAAAGCTTAATCTCGAAAGATTTGCTTTCGATGCCTTCATCGATGTTTTACAGAGAAAGTAAAATGCTTATAAGATAACAACTCCAGCAAAAATATCATCTGGCCTTACCGGGGGATAGTCGAAGTCTGGCGTCGTGGCGACTTCGTGAAGGTAGTCGATTCTAAACTGGTTATTAGGGTTCGCTAACTTTACCGGCGGTGTAAGCGTTGACATGGCGCCTGTTATGGTCTAAGAAACAAAAATTATGCATCTTACAAAAAATCCAAGCGAAAGAAATCGAAAAAGCTGTGAAATCGCAACGAATCGCGAGCTAAATGTGGGTGGTAGATTGTAAATAGGCTAGTCTTACCAATATTGCATCTCTAATATTCTTCTTTATATCTTCTATTTTTTGCCTCTTTTCCCTACGAGAAATGAAGCAAAGACGCAGATTAACACAAGACGTCCATTGTGAATAATTCTTGTTCGATCGCGGCCTGCCTTCCTCACTTTTAATAATTTGTATGCTAAATAACTGTGACAGAATGGTGAACACTCACTGTTCCGTAAAACCGTGTGCATCGTGTAGGATCCTCATCTGTTTCACGATGGTGCTTTTTCCTGATTCTCCAGCCCCTTGGAGGTTAGAAATAAGACTGATTACTCATTCGATAAAAACCAAAATCAACCACCTTCAAACCCAAATAATACAGCCATACACGACGAGAAATTGTTACCAAGTAGAAGAAGGCGATGGGTTGCGCGGTATGCAATCTTATCGTCTCTCAACTGCTTTTCGATCTTTTTGTTCGTATTTTTCTGCCTCCGATTATTTTCTTGCTCCTCATCGGTAATGTTGTTCCCGAAACACCCCATCGCACAGAAGTGCGACTCCAGAACGAGGAAGACGCCCCCGTCGTACCACCAAATAAAAAGTTTCTTTTTTCGAAGATGAAAGGCTAGTATGGAGTTATAGACACAGCAACACGACCGCTCAACTTATGACAAATCAAGGCACACAGGGTGTGACACACATCCGCAAAGGGTCATGGGAAATCTCAGAACCTTAAGACGGAGGGTGGTCTGGTGATGAGTGTGACGTCAGTTGCAGAGGACATACGGGTTTTGACGCATAAAATGACGTCACAAAAAGGGGATTTTCGCAAAAACGAAGCAATTGCCTTATGGAGATTCAATACCTTGTATTTTCGCTTGCTGAATGCTGCCTTCTCTTTCCATATTTTTTTTTTTTTGCTGCGGCATTTCATAAGCTTATAATAGGATCAGTCATTTTTTGTTGCAATTTATTTATTATTGAGATATTTTTGGAAGGCTTTTCAAAAACAACAATGCAACACCGACTTTTTCACTGCTCTTTTTTGACAGTCTAACTATGTCATTAATTGCGCAATGCTTATAACGGTTTGCTAACTTCACTTGAAATATATTTTACGACAAAAACAGATATGCGCAGGAGCCCATGATATACGCATATAAAAACCGACCAATCTTGCATTTTCCGAAAAGAATTAAGAAACCTTAAATAAAAAAGTTTTAAACACTAGTTGTCGATAGAAAGCTCTGTCGGGAGGCTGAATGAACTTTTTACGAGTCTGTCATATCCATTATGGAACCGGAACGGATTTCTAGTTGTGGGCAGCAAACCACATCTTAATTCATAATTTACTTCGCTAGTTGTCAAACTGTAAAACATCATCTATCACAGACAGGACCCTATTAAGAATATCTCTCATTGCGAGAAGAACAAAATGCGGAAACTCTCCCGCAAAGAACCCATGGATAATATGGCCTGCTACATTGGCTGTTATCAGCTTGCACTTGACGTAATTCCAGAAGGGCAAGTATTCACGGGTTTGAAATATATTTGAGTCCTTTTTAAAAGAGTGACACGTGTCTATCCATCGATCAGTTAGTTTCGAAAGATAGTCGAGTGCTCCCGTTACCATGGCACGCCTCTATTCTGGATTTTAATAATCCATTCAACTACTTCCTCAACTTGAGTTCGAGTCCGTTCGTCTCTTCAGTCTATTTGTATCAGTCTAGATCGAGCCAAATGTAGTATACTGAATAACATATTTAACATTGCATATGTTTATTTTTTGTGGTTATTTCTGAATCCACATGACACGACCTAGACTAGCTCTTAAGTCTCTTAAGTCTGCGCATGTCCACATACGTATAACATCACATTGTAGACACTGTCCTGCAACAAATAAAATGTGTGCGCGAGCCAGTTTGTTTATCCTCTAGGTCCCCATTATATTACACAGTAAAAGATCTAGGAAACAGGTCCGCACTTTGCTATCGTGTCCCCCTTCCATATTTTTAGATCTCACTAAGACCCCACCCCCCTGCCGCGACCCGCATGGAACACTTTATGACAGGAGCCCCTGTTTAAGACTGATTCCGAGAAAAAAAGGTCATCAGCTCCGTCTTGGAAATCATTGCCTTTTTCAAAGGAAACAAAACTTCCAGGTAGTTTCCAGTAACCGTGGGACCAGTGATTTGCTATACATATACAGGTCTATACAACCACTCAAGAAAAATTTCTACAATAAATTTTATTCAATAATTTGTCAACAACAATGGCTGGTAACATTGCACTGTAACTCTATGACGTCATAGATTTTTTCATGGCTGTAGATGAAGTCCATCTACTGGTCTTGTGGAAGGTGTCATATCAACATTGTCCTGTCTTTCCTGTTAAAGAACCTCCCGTTAAACCAGTTAACGCACAATGCAATTGCACAATGACGTCATTTTACTGGGACTTCCAGAATCCGTCAGTTTGTTGTTTTCTTGTGCAAATTGGGGTTAATACTTTTAACGCTCAGCGGGATTGACAAATTTAAATAAGAAAGCAAAAACGAAATAAACTCTGGAAGCTGTAGTCAAATGTCGTCGGCGTGAAAATGGCCTATTAAGGCAGGGCCAAGAAAAAAATACTCTAAAAATACTATGCATGAGAAGTATGACGTCACTCTTGATTCTAATTTCCATGCGAACGCTTGCTGTCTCTTTTGTGATGAACTTATGGTAAAAAAAAGAATGAGACAAATCTTCCATCTTAGGTTGACTGGAGATTAAAAAGGAAAAATTATCCAGCTGACTAGAGTTAACATAGTCACGTTTTCAGCAAAAGGCGAACGTGAATCTGTACCACCTGACCAAGTTTTCCCTTTCTGTCGTTTATTGTTCATTATAACTAAATGGAAATCGGTGGATTCACACCATTGTTTAATTATCCACGACAATTGTTTTGAGCTGCTTATCATCTGCTCATGCGTTCCGCCTATTTTGATAATTTCTCAACTCGAATATAGAAGAGGTTTATCGTTTGCCGTAAATCTCCTTACTTACGTGATGCTTTAGGAGTTTATCACAAGACAACGCCTACAATCTTGATCAGAATCTTGCTAAAAAGGAGGCGATGACCGATTCTAAATGAATTTACAGTCAAACAGTAGTAATTGGGAGTCGTAAGACAGACAGTATGCAACTACCTCATTGAAGCCTTTATCAAATGTGACCTCCCAGGGAATATTCCCATTTTTGGGCAGAAAACTAACGGTCTAAAGATAGATTTTTCACCAGTTAAATCTTCTCGGTGACTTCTGATGCTCGTGCCTTCGACGCTCGTTCGTGGGCTGGCACTACACTCGAGCTAGCCCGACCCGGTGAAATCCAAAGTATACTTTGCGCTCCCTGATTCCAGATCTAAGTGTTAAGGTTTAAGCGCTTCGAAATGTGTTTGTTATAGAGAAAGTTTATTGGCTTTTATAAACGTATTATGTCAGCCGGAGACTCAGTATTGACAAAGAGTGCATGTGTGGCTTTCCTGTAGGAACGGGACTCTTAGTGGCACAACTCTACGAGCTTTCTTCAAGTTCCGCCCTTCCCCCCAAAAGTGACAACAGCTGCCGAGTAGCGTATCAGTCCTTCCCACATTGAGTCATGTCAGGTATAGTGATCATGCAAGAGAACTCTTGTAGTCAACTTAAGATGACTAGATTAAGTGACTAAAAGTAAAGTACATTCCATGCTATGAATGATTGTCGGAAGGCACATCCTGATCCACTAATTATAATAAAATCTTTTAATGCTCGAAAACAGCTTTGTGAATAGAGAGTTATGGGACCTATAATACAGGTTACGGTTTAACCCTCAGACGTACAAGGGGAGCGGTTGCCACCTCAAGTAGTTTAAGGCCTGGGACTAAGGGGTTTACCAGCCTGTAGAAAATGAATTTTTGGCTATAACTTTGGCATAGATGCAGATAGCACTGGGTCAAAATTTGGCACACATAAGGAACTCATCGTCCCGCATTTTAAAGTATAACTATTGTGAAAGGCGTTCCACTGAAGGCAAAATCGTATCGAAATACTGCAACATATCAAAAACTCTAGGGACGGGCTCTATCAACCCCCCTTGTACCACGGGGGAGGGGGAGAATTTGCGTCTACGTCCGAGGCTTAAGCCAAGGAAGATGGCCAAGACATGATCACACGTAAGTAAAAACGTGTAAGTGAACAGGGAGAACAAGCAAGGTGACTGAAACACAGGAGACTATAGAGAGGTGGGAGAAACCAACATAAAATTCACACACTTTCTTCGTCAACAGCCGCAATATTTCCCCTTCAGAAGCCTACTGATGGGCGCCTGTGACCCCTCTAACCCCTGTTCCACTCTTCATCTGAAACCTTGATTAAAAAAATCAGAATAGCAGTTGTCTGTTGCCTGAATGCTTGAGCTCATTCTATGATTGTTTTTAATTTTCTTAACTCCAGTAGGTGAAAGTTTGCCACTCGTAACTGTCAGGGCAAATGGCACTACCAAATATCTCAAATTATTTGAACTTAGTCACGATTTAGCCAACGAGTCCAATGGCGGATCCAGACTCACATAAGGAGCGTGGGCGGTCATCCAGACCCTGAGATAAGGGGGACCCGGTCTCCAAAAAAAATTTTTTCGGCACTTCGGGCCTCAGTTTGGTCTAAAAATAACGGGGTGGCCGGGCCTCCCAGTCCCCTGCCCTGGATATCTGCCACTGGAGTCGCTGGCAGTCGTTACGATCAGCCGGCAGCAGAAGCTCAAAATTATTGCGAAGGCATGAAAAAAACACGCAAGATAACTTTTAGTCCAGAATTCAATTAATGTTAATAGCCTGAACAGAATCGATCAGATATAAGATTATTCTGTTTGCTTCGCAACCGAGTTATCACTTTACATATATGAGGTGTAAAGACGTTTGGGTGTGTGGCTTTTGAGAAAAGGAACCAATTCAATAATCTTAACTCTTTTTTGTTCTATTCTTAAATGTTTGAAAACTGAAACAATTTATTTATTTATTCATTTTGTTTAAAGCGAAAACAACAAACGAGGGCTTTTAGCTAGATCAGCGGAGATAGATGCTTGATAAAAATCGGCATGGCGATCGGAGCGGTCAACGAGCCGTTCCGCCACCAGCTAATGACAGCGGTTCGCTGATGACACTGGGCGCTAAAAATAAGTTTGCGAGACAAAAGAAATTAAAATATCAATAGCATAACCTCTATAATCATGACATTTAGTTAAAATATCGGAGCTTTTGTTTAATAAGCGCTCAAATAAATCCGACAGTCTGCGAGTGAATGCGGTTGCGAAACTCGGTCAAAAATAGCTCTTTGATTGCTTTATTTCGGTTTTTATAGATTTATACACAAATGACTTCCAAATCGTCCATGCAATATTTCGAAATTTCCGGTTAAATGCTCTACTCTATATTTCACTGCAACTTAGGTTTAGACGAAAAAAGCTGTGTTTATTATTTGGCTTTATCTATATATCGGTACACGTCCTTGTTTGAACAACGTCCGCTAAATATAGAACTTTGCATTAAAAATTTAAATCGTTGAATTGTAAACATCGCACCGTAATTCCATCAAAAGAACATAGGAAAGTTGATCATCAGCACTTAAAAGGCTTAGAAAAAATACTACAGCCGTAGGATTATT